TGCTGACAATAAACCGAGATCTTTTAGGTTACTGCGTGAAAAATGCCACCTTTCGGTAGCAATGTGTAAACATCGCACGCCTTTATTCCTAAGGCCTTGCGTATTTCCAGTGCTAAATGCCAAACTCTTGTATTTCAGCATACGGGGATATTAGCTGTTCCTAGAAAGTTGTCATATTAGAACCAAACATGTTTTAAACGAACAGGCTTAGGGGCTCTGTTGTGTTCCTGGTGTGGAAATTGCTGATAGACAAGAGCTCTCGTACTGGTCGAAGGGAGTGGGTTGCCTTGCCTGGTGTCTTGGTTCTGGAAGGAAAGGAATAAAAATTCTAATGCAGAATATGTCTCAATGAAAAAAAAAAAAAAAACCAACTCATAAGTATGGGGAGTTCTTCTCAAATGAAAAACTGCTGCTGTAATTCTGCATATCATTGGCTTTTAATAAGTCTATAAAATGCTGGTAAAGTCCTACGGATGTGGCCACAATTTCTACAAATGTTGTGGGTACAAAGTAGCTACAATATTTGCTGCTCCGATCCTCTGGCTGTCTTCTGAGCATTGTAAATTCTCCATTGTGAATACTGCAAGGGTGGTGGAGAGCTCCAGATTTTACCGTATGTTTTTAGTGAAAGTTGCTCTGGCTAGTATTTTTGTTTTCCTTTTTTTCCTAGATGTCATTTTAAAATTTAAACTGAAGTCTTCAGAAAGAAGACAGCATCTATAAATTCAGAATATTATCATGTACAATGAGAAACTGATACTGATCTTGCAACTCGGTGATAAGTGTCAGAGTAAAGATGTGTTCTCTGTGCCACCCATTCTTAACTTTCCATGTTTTTGACCTTTACTATTGTGAATTTTCCATGCTTAATCACAGGTCAGAAAAGACTGAGTCAGCATTTGACCGATCACCACCTTGTCAATTAGACCATGGCACTAAGTGGCATGTCCAGTCTTTTCTCGAACACCTCTAGGAATGGTGACTCCACCACCTCCCTGGGCAGCCCGTTCCAGAGCTTAACAAGCTTTCTGTGAAGAAATTCTTCCTGATACCCAAGCTGAACCCCTACTTCATGAATAAGCAGTCAGAATCTTTCAATTACATTTACAGGAAGAAGCCTTTAAAACCAGGGAGCTGTATTTTTTTTTTCCTTTCTTGAATTCTGTCTCTTCCAGGTGTATTATTTAAGAGCCTATGAAGTAACCAGCACCTCTGGGCTAGGTAAGCTCATGCAGCTGATGAAAAACATCATCCCTCTTTGTGTTCTCTCCACACCATTCTATTATGCACAATTCATCCACATCTTGTTTTTACTGTCAGATGGTTGCTGCACAGAGCAGCTCAGGTTGGACATGGACTGCCAGCTGAGGTTTCACTTGCCCTTCTTCCCCTGGCCTGATGTGTTCCTTTACATCTCAGTGACATACAAAACTGGTTTGAATTCTCTGTGCTTCTGAAGTGCAATCTGTGTTCTACACCCTCATCTTGTGCATGGTGCGATCCTCCTGGAATCCCTGGCTGTCCTCTCACGCCTTCATCTTAATTATCACCCCCTTTGCCACTCCTTCACATCTCCCTGTTAATAACTCCAAGTACAAACAGCTGTCCCACTAACAAGAGGTAGTGCTAACCCACTTTTTGCTACTATGGAAAGTACGTATAGTTCTTGAAAGTCAGACATTCCTCTATGAGCAGATTCTTTTCTATGCAAAACTGCCCTTTTGTACTTAATTTGTTCACAAAATGCTGTACCTTTTGTATTGCATGTTGCTCTGGCTATGTAATAATCATCTTCTAATAAACCACTTACAATTGTAAATAATATGCCTAAAATAAATATATATATATATATATAGAATGTATTCAAAATATTAAAAGTATGTTTACCATTTAAAAGAACAATCTTCTTAAAAGCTCAGGATGCTGCCAGGGTGCTGGAGAGCTCCAGATTTTACCATACTTTTTTTAGGAAAGCTGGCCTGGCTAGTATTTTTGTTTTCCTAAATGTCATTTTTAAATTTAAACTGTAAAGCCCTTAGAAAGAAGACAGCACCTATAAACACAGAATATTACTATTAGAAACTGTTGGTCCTGTACAATGAGAAACTGATACAGATTTTGGAACGGAGAAAATATATAATGTTCATTGAATAATATTTAATAGAATGTTTACCTCAGCAATAACAAACCATATGAGAAGTACAGTGTTTTACAGAACAGATACATCAGATGACATATGTGCATATAGTTTCAACTTTTCTTGCCTAAATATAGAAGATATTTAAGTGAACAAGTGTGCTATGAACAAGCCAACACTTTGGGCTCATTTGCATCAATATGTGAACCCGCTGAAAGCCATGGTATTGTGAGCAGACACGTAGCTGTGCTGGGGTAACAAACACACATTAAACCCCATAACATGCAGCACAGTCCTATGGATGGATACAAGCAGTGCCCAACACACAGCTGCCACATACAGTGCTGTGTGCAACACAGGTTTCATTACATTTTTACTTGAGGTGAACATGCATCCACATTTCCAGCAATAGCTACATACATGTCGGATTATCTGAAGGGTAAAGCTCTGACCTGATGGCTGTGATCAGGGAGATTTCTGCCACCAGCTTTAAGCAGTGGAGAAAGTGCATGTGGGATTGCAACTGCTATTTCTAGACTTGCCCTTTGCCTGTCACACAAGCCTGTATTGCTCTCTACTTGGTCAGTACCACTGCTCCTTCTCTTCTCTTTTCCTCAGCACTTGTCCCAGAGGGAACAAGGATACCTACTCTGCTGGCAGGTCTGCCTTTGGGCTGCTGCTCCTGTTGGTGGCTGCAGTTGCCGCCTCCAGATCCCCTCATTCGGATCCCAGCAATGTCCTCTGATAGAAATGCATCATGTTAACTTAATGAGGTATTAATTACATTTAAGAATCAATTCATTCTCCTCCACAAACAGTATTTCAGGAATTATAGTTTGTCTATAGATATTATTTTTTAACTTAAATATATATATAAGGTGTAATAAATAACAATTTTTTTAAAAGCAAGAAGGGAGATTAGATTTGTGAAGTTGTTGATGTTTCCCCATGGTTTGCGCTGTCTCCTTGTGCCGAGTGAGTCAGAAACTGTCCTGTGGCTCCAATGTATAACCTGGAACGCATGGGCCACTTCTGTAAGAGAGGAGACAAGCACTGAGCTGAGATACCTGGGAGCTTTGCACTCTGACTGCAGTTCTCAGCACAGCTGATGGAAAAGCGTTGATGGAATCACAGTACGAGAAAATAGGAAATTATTGCTATCACCAGACATTTCCCATTTTGTCATTTGTTGGAAAATATTAGGAGCTTGGTAAGGAAGCCTCAGCCTGGATATTTGCTTTGGTAATTAATCTCAAGGCACAGGTCCCAGCCCTGCTGTGATCCAGCAGACAGGAGCAGCCTGTGCTGGTCAGTCATCCTCGCACAGTTTGTGTTGTGGATGTTCTGTTAGAGTAAAACAAAACGTTCCTTTTCAAGGCACCAGGGATACTCCAGGGATACACCTGCATCTGCAGGGATTGCAGCCCTATGTGCACACCCAT